CCCCCCCCCCCTCCCCCCTTGACATGATTTTTTTGGACGTGGTGACCCTGGGTTGTTGTTGGGGTAAGGGGTGCAAAGGTCTGTTCCTGCATCGTGTCCCTGCATCGTGCTAATGTGGCTAACTCAACGTACAACACAGCCATGCGTCTTGAACGGACACTTCTCGTCAATCGATGAAACCAGGTGTGAGCGCTGATGAACCAAAACAACAAAGTCAACACCAAAAACCCCTGCCCCGCCATAACGAGCAGGGCGTACCGGCTGTTCGACCATGGCCCCACCTTCCGCTTCGAGACGAAGCAGAACATGCTCGACGGAAGCCTGCTGTGGAGGTTTGTTGGCCTCGATGCCAAGACCCAGCACGACCTGACGAGAGCCATAGGGACGACGGTGGACCGGGTGATGGCCAACTTGCTGGACATTGATCTAGCGTCCCTATTTTAGCGCGACCATGCCGTTGAAAGGCGGTGGTATGGATGCCGTTGTTGCCTAGTCTTTGGCCTTGTGCTCCTCTGCTCGGCATTTTCGTCGGATCTGGTTCGGTAGAGACGCCGCCCATTCTCTTCTCAATCTCATTCTCTTCTCATTCTCAGTCGCATTCTCTTCTCGTTCTCTTCTCAATCTAGACATGGACCTGGTACTCATGTTTTTGCACTCCTGTTTTGGCGTGTTGGTGTTGGAAAGTTGCGTCTTGGGGGTGGGAATGTTGCTGCCTAGTCTTTGTCGTGGACGTTGACCTTGTGCTCCTTCGTGATGTCGAAAGAGCCGACCTCTCCGGTAGGGGCGTTGCTGCCTGTTATTGTCTTGCTGGACGTTGACCTTGTGCTACTTTTGCGTGCTCCTGTTGCTGAAGAGATTGGGTTCCGAAGAGCTTTTGATTCTCTTCTCTTCGTAAGGTGCCCGGACCTTGAACCTCGTGCTGCTCTCTGTAGCGCCCCGATGTTGTCGAAATAGCCGGCTTCGGAAGGGGTCCACTTGCCTGTGTGAAAACTGCGTGCCATGGTTCCCTTGGGCCTACAAGCACCCCGGTTTTGGCGCGTTCAGGTTGTTGGAAGAGGTCGGGTTCGGCAGGAAGGTCTATCGGTTGCCTCTGGCCATGTTGAAGTCTTTTCATCGGATGGCTTTCAAGGGTTCATGAGGGCTTGACACTTCCTGCCCAGCACCTCTCTCGTAGCCCGAGGAATAATAGCGCTGATAGAAAGTAGTTCGTCAAGGGTTTAGGTCCGCTGCAATAGTGGGCCTCGTGAGCGGCTGGTTTGCTGGGTGATGGGTCTCGCGTCTTTCCTGTGCCATTTCTCCGCCTGCTGCGGTAGTCGCGAGTGGTGCATAGGACGGCCGCTAGTACTACGCGACCATTGACTCTCTTGTGGTGGTGCTCGACACGCCTGCCTCGTGTGGTTTTGTGCGACCAACGACCCGCTCTCTTTTATCTTAGCTTGTGGTGGTGCTCGACACGCCTGCCTCGTGTGGTTTTGTGTGACCAACGACCCGCTCTCGTTTATCCTAGCTTGTGGTGGTGCTCGACACGCCTGCCTCGTGTGGTTTTTGTGACCAACGACCCGCTATCTTTCATCTCAGCTTCGTGGTTTGGTTGTGGCCTTTCTTGGGAGATTATTGGTTTCAGGGGTTACGGGACCTGTTGAACTTGGGGTTAAGGTTGTTGTTGGTCGCGAGGTTGTAGACGGTGGTTGGTGACCCACCACCAAGGTAGAAATCTACTGTAGTTGTTGATCGTCGTTGCACGCGCTGGTGGCGTTGTGGCGATGCGGTTTTTAAGATCCACGGGGTGATGATGATAGCGTCACGATACCATATCGGGCAAAGCGTGTTCAGGACTGTCTTCCAAGCCTTTTTTCCTTCTTTGCCGGAACATCGAAAGAGAAGCTCGCTCGTTGGAACACAAGAGTTCGCTCAATCTCTTGGTGTCAACAAAGGTCATGTTACCGCTGCTACAAGTGGGTAGCAAGGACGGTTGAGCTTGCAGCTCTCTTCTGCAAGGAAGGAAACAGCCAAATACACTCACTGTTGTACTATCTCGAGCGAAACGAGGTTGTAACGCTTGGATGCGTCGCTCTACGTTAATGGTTGCAAAGCAAGGCAAAAACAAAGTGTTTCTAGCGTCTCTTCCCGCAGGAGTGCATCCAGGCCACCGTGGGGGCGTCACCTCATCTTTCACTTTGAGGTCGGGGGAGACATACTCTTGCGTATACTTTGTTCAACATTGTGCGCCGGAAGATCCCCGAAAAAGGACTACACGTTTTCTCCCAAAAGTGAAAGATTGAACCTCAAAAGGACACACCCCTACCCGTAGGATCACTCTTCCGTGCCAGTCTAATAGAGCATCATGACGTGCCGTTCATGATGGGAGTTTGGCTTATCGTTTGAGGAGGTTCGCATGTAGAAATACTTTTTTTTTCTTTTCTTTTTTGAATGAAACAACGCGTATTTGACAGCCGTCCAGATTTACGCCAGAAAAACACTTCCGAGCACACGACCGACTTGATCCGACAGTGAATTCCAACACCTTACATCAACTGATGCGAGCTATCTAATCTATGCTTGTCGAATACTACTGTACCACGACGATCTACCGTACTATAGCGAGATCGTTCAAAAGTATACTAACGTGTCTAGCACCTCACTCTAAGTGCGAGACGGACAAATCCGACTTTCACTTCTGAATACCGAAAAAAAAAACTAGAAAGAACTACTCGATATATTGCGTCCCCAAACCTGAAAAAAAAAACACAAACACAAGCAACACCCCCAAACCCAACAGTTTTTATGGTGTCCCATATGCGGGTGCGGGCGAAACCATACCCCCTTTAAAAAAAAAACTCTCAAGGCAAGCCATGCCAGCGGTGGCACACGTACCAGGAGAGCCGACGGGTTCCATGCATAATGAACGACTGCTGCTCGGTGATCGCTATCAGGTGCCCCTCTGCAGCAAGAATTGCGTACCCTAACTAGAAAATCCGCGAACCCTTCCACCAACCAAACCCTGCATCCTCAAAAAGTAGTGGTGACAAAAAACGTCGAACAACAGTACACATTTGGTCTAGTCATATGGTACTTGCTTCCTTGAACGCACTACTATACCAAGATGCAAGCCCTTTCATAGTTCCCGGCACTACTATACCAAGTGCACCCCAACAGCCGCGTGCTCCACTACCTGCTGGCAAAATTTGGCATTTTGGCATTTCCTAAACACGGTCTCCCGAATGCATCGCGAGCTCCCTCTCTCCTTGCGGGCTAGAACAAGGCGTCTTCATTTGCTACTCGCCAGAATGGTGCAATCAACTACCCCGGCGAATTTCGCTTGACTCAATCACGCCCCCGTACCTTTGCACCTCCACAACTCGCGTGCAATCTCAACCGTTCTCGGTCTACACAAATCCAGCCGATGCGAGATCGCGGTCTAAAGATATCGGCCCGCACGTCTATGAGGACCCCCCCCAGGCATCCCGATCTCCTCCATCAACAGCAATAACAGGTCTATGCAAGGAGCTCTCGGGTGACGGGTACGCCTCCAGCCACACAGCGATGTCATCGTTACGCTTTTGCATTGCCAGGAGAACAAGCATCCAGCCCCAGACGACCAACTTAGCGCCAGCACCCCCACCACGATGATCCACAAAACTCCGGTCATCCTGGTTGTCATCAAGGAGAAGCTCTTCTCGACGACGGTAACGCAAAAGCACGCCCTTGACGGGAAAACACCCCTCCCTCCGCGTGGCTTGCCATCGATTGTCTCAACGCCGCCGTGCTGTCGCAGCAGCAGCAGCAGAAGAAGACGAAGGAGAGGAGGATGAAGCGACCGTAGCCTTGTCTGGCGGTAAAGGCGACACCCCCAGCACCGCCTTGATGGCCTCGAATGATCCGAAACCGACCGCCGTGAATAGCCCCGACATCACAACTCGAGGTTGGAAACCCGCTGTATTAAAAAGCGGGGAGAGGGGGGGGGGATTGTACTCATAGTCGTGCATGCCGTAGTCGTTAGACCACTGATCGCTCATCCCTCGAAAGCCGGGACGGAGCACGCCGGGTTCTCGCCGGACCAGGGGGGCGTACAAATGTCGTGCGTGCCTTGCATGTCTGACCATTGACCATGCGCCCTCGAGAGGACGGAGCATTGATCGTTCCCACAGGACAGATGACCAATCGTTCCTTCCTAATTTGCCAAAGGGGGCTCGAAAATGTCTCCCCTATCCTATCGATATCACTTCCCGCCTTTTCTGGCCACTTCCTACGCCCCGGACGGCGTGGTCGCTGCTCCAGCGACCGTATGCGACGGCACCGGCCGTCATTTTCCGCACGAGGTGACTCAAAGCTTTCGCGGTGCCAAAATGTAACTAACTGCGGCGAATCAATACAATGGAAAAATTGAAGCTGGAAAAGAATATCAGGACGCTTGGTAAACGCACGGCCCAGAGTCTTGGTAACTGAATAGCTGTCATAGACAAATGTTTGCAAGACGTATTTCCACGGCTATATTTTGCGGGATTAAACAGCACCTCTTTCCCTTGCCCCACAATGGAAACCGGTACATGGGAACCCACGAAGAAATTACGCTGACAAGGAACTTGGGAACGATGGAAGTTACCGTACCGCAGTGAAATCCGACCTCAACAAAAGGTTGACTGATTGGCTGAACAGAAGGGAACATCAGCCTCGGGCTACTCGCTTGTGGGGGAAACATGGAAATCAAAACTCCTTACCGTAGAGGCCCTTCCACCCGTCGTCCGCAACGATAGTTGCCATGTTCTTCACGAAACCCCTCCCGCCTTCCAGGGAGCCGGTGGCCACCTTGGTAGAAGTAGATTATATTCAATTCAAGGTGGTTCGTGTCACATGATGAAAGAGAGACAACGATCGATCACGCTCAACGAGGACAACCTCGTGAAACCCCGACCGACAGTATAAAATAATATCCGAAGCGCGACATCGTTGCGCCCCAGTGCCCCATATCGCCCAGCGTCATTCGAGTGAACCACGTTGGTCTTGACCAATGACACCCAAGGTTGCGGTGACGCTTGTTCCCTTGAATGCCGCCTACTGCTGTACCACAGCTCCTCGCCCACATCCCGCCATCTTCGCTCGCCAAAGATGCCAAATATTTCCTCGCCCGACACCCTCGAGGCAACCCACCCACCCTGGGCTTGTAACAAGCGATCGTTTTGTTGCCACAAGCTACTCTGCTGGATATCGCCATCGCATGCTCAGGGCTACGGGTGGTGATCGAATCACATCTTGTCTGCGTTATACCGGCTTCGCACTTTTGTCAAAAACTCACCCTCGTCTTGAGGACGTCGAAAGGCGTCGTCATCCCGCTAGCGCAGGCGCCCGCCAGGGCTCCCGCCAACAGATACGCCGGGGGCGCGGACATTAGGCGCGCGGGTCCAATGAAACTTCCAACAAAAAAAGCAAACAACAGGGGGCGGAGGGGTTACGGAACAGCTGTCGAACCGAGGGGGCGGGGTGCAGGAAACCTTGCTGAAGGGGAGTGAGTTGAGTTGAACAGGCCAGCTGAGGCCGAACTAACCGCGACAGACCTTCGCGACCCTCCTTGGCTTAAAAGAGAGGTCTGCCGGGCATGACATATATGCAGGAGAGAGGGGTGTGTGCTCACGTTAACGCGTGCCCAAGTCGTTAGACCATTAACCCCGCCGGCCCAGGCTGTTGCGCTGTACAAGGGTGGACCAGGAGTTGGTCATCATCCTTGCGTTTGCTGTGCCAAACCAGGCATGCCATGGGTTGGGGGGGGGGGGGGGGGGGGGGGGAA